CTTCCTTCCTTCCTTCTGTTTTGTTTCAAAGAGCATTGTGATATTCATGTATCAGAATAATGAATGGAATATAAAAAGTAACAGTGAATGATTGTGATTTCCGATTATGGCCAAGTTGTTTCACTGAGAATGTATTTGGAAATGGGCTTCCAGACACTCATTTAGCTTGAGTGTGCATGTGCTCACACTACTTCTTCCACTTAAGCTAACAGAAATTCTCCATCTACTCCAGCCTTTCCAAACCTGATGCCTTTTACATGTTTCGACTATTACTCTCACTACTCCCAACCAGCATGCCAATAAATTCCCTGTGTTACTCATATATGAATTATTCAAAAGGTATTGCTTTTCTTGGCCTTCAGCGTTTCTTTACCTTGCAGGTCTGGAAGGAAAATGACAGAGGAAAACAGCACCACAAAGGTCAAGGATTTTGTATTTGTAAGTTTCACCAACAAGCCTGTCGTGACGATCACCCTCTTTTTTGTGTTCCTGATCTCTTATGTAGCTACTTTGGTGGGCAATATTGGAATGATTGCTTTGATAAGGGCCAGCCCGCAACTCCACACTCCAATGTACTTCTTTCTGGGCAACCTGTCCTTTATAGATTCAGTATTCTCCTCTGTGGTTGCCTGTAAGTCTTTGGTGAATCTCCTGGAAGATAAAAGATCCATTTCCTTTATTGGATGTGCAATGCAGATGTACTTTGTCATAGGCTTGGGCAGCGCAGAGTGTTTTCTCCTCGCTGCAATGGCCTATGACCGGTACGTGGCTATCTGCAAACCCTTGCTGTATCCAGTCCTCATGTCTGCTAGATCCTGTATTCTTCTGATGGCAGGTTCGTATCTTCTTGGGTTTTTGCATTCCCTTCTGCATACTGTTTTCACCTTCAGATTGTCATTCTGCCAGTCTAATCAGATCAATCATGTATATTGTGACATCACGGCCCTTTTATCTCTCTCCTGTTCTGACACTCGCCTGAATGAACTCCTGATTTTTTATGTGGCTGGACCTGTAGAAGCAACCACCATGCTGAGTGTCTTTCTTTCATATATGTATATTCTTGCCAACATTGTGAGGATCAGCTCAGCTTCAGGCAGGCTGAAAGCCTTCTCCACTTGCTCTTCACATCTGATTGCAGTTACTATCTTCCATGGGGCAATCCTTATTTTACATTTTCGACCAAAGTCAAGCAATGGATCACCCATCCAAGATATGAGTGACAAAATTCTTGCCGTCTTCTACACTATTATCATTCCTTTGCTGAACCCTTTGATTTACAGCCTGAGAAACAAGGAGGTGAAGGATGCCTTTAGCAATATTTGGAGAAGAGTCTGGGTCAAAATGATTAGATAAATTGTTTAAAGAAGAAGCTTTCCTGATTTTTTGGTGGGGGCGGGGCATGGTATTGTAATTAAACTGTAAGCAGTTTTCCTCAAATATTAAAATGGAACATTCCTTGGTATAAATGACAGAGCATATATGCTTTAATATGCTCCACTATATTTTCAACTATTCTTCTTTACCTGTACCTGATGGCAAAGGGTTAGGTCTCTATTGAAGACCTATTTTCTCTCAGGCATAGAGCCAAGATGTCATGGGATCCTGCTTAACTGTGTTTTTGGACTTGATTGTCTGTGGGATAATGATTTTTATGGATTTGTTCTGTTGTATACTGATGTTTTTAGTCCTATATAAGCTGTCCAGAGTCATGATATTAGTGGGCAGCCTTAAAAATCAAATCAAATCAAATCAAATCAAAACAAACAAACAAATAAATCTATGTACATCTTCAGCATGAGCTGTAAAATCATCTGGTGGATCCTTTAACAAATTTATCCGTGCACATACATTCCACATGGGAAATATGCCTCTGGAAGATCTCCTGGGAATGAATTTTAGAAAGGGAGAAATAAAAAGATCTTCTCTCCCTGAGCCTTAAACCCACCCCATTCCAAATGGAGTGATAGAGATACCCCTGTTGGTTTGCTGTGGTGTGAGAACTTGGTTGTTTGTCATGATGGGGCTGAATAAACCATGAAGCATCTAAATGGAAGATTAATGAGGGTTTGTTTCTTCATCTACCATCCAATGACTACACAGAAGATCTGGTCTAGTTTCTTATCTGATTTCCTTCTCCCTGCTGCCCAAATTATAGCCCCTTGGGCTCAGTGTTTGCACATTCTTCATACTAAGTTCAGCCATCAGGCCAAAAATGCTGATTAAAGGGACATGCTGGCAGAGGGCCCTCTACTGAGTTGGACTTGCGGTACAGTCCCAAGGAGATTACTGGACTTAAGGACCTGAATTCAACCCCCTCTTGCCTTCTTAGACTCTGGAAGCAAATTCTTCCTAGGTCCACGAAGCAGCCTTGCTAAGTTAGCTTTCGCAACTCAGCCCGCTTCACCTTATCACGTGGATCCAGAATCAAGCAAAGAAGAGATATACACATATGCGCCCCTTGAGCTGGTCTGACCTGCAGCTTAGCTCTTGTCCAGCAGCTGTTGATAGAAATCCCCCTATTTACTTTCCCCTCTGCTGTTGGACAATCCCTCTAACACTGACTTTAGAGAAGTAGGACTGTGTACTCAAGTAGCCCCCTGCTGCAAAAGAAAATCCTTTTCTCCACTTGCTCCCAATCTTTCTCTCCATCTTCGGTCCAGAGATATTTTTGTTGAGCAGAGTGCAGCAATACTCCTGTTGTGCAGAGTGCAGCAATACTC